TCAAGGTTGAACGCCGCCGGCGGCCCAGAATCGATCGATGTTGAACGATCGGACGTTGCGGAGACGGCCGATCGTTCAAGGTTGAACGATCCAGCGCGGTGTCAGGAACCAACGCTGGGGTCGACACGACACGAACCTGCCGTAGGAAGGGGGGGCAATTGTCCCACGGGCACCCCTGCATCCTTGCCTCCTCGGTCCATCCTGGGCCACTTTCGGTGGCCGCGCGCCGCTCGAAAGGCCTCGAAGCGGCCTTCCAAGGCACTGGTATCCTCATCGTGCGTCCGCATGGTACGGGTTCACTGCATCTAATATTTTGTTATCTGGCTGTTGGGCTGGCATGGAGAAGCCCAGGGCGGGCTTCGGCAGCATAAGAGGGAGGGGGGGGTGGAGAGGGAAGATATAGGGAGGGGGGAGGGGAGGAAGGGGAGCAGAGAAGGGGAGAGGAGGAGAGAAGGGGGAGAGGAGGGGAGGGGCGAGAGAGGGGGAGGGGCAGGAAGGGGGGGGGGAGGAGAGGATGTGGAGGGGAGCAGAGGCCCCGCGGGGCTCTTGAGGAGGCTCTTGAGGAGGCCCCGCGGGGCTCTTCTTGAGGAGGCCGCACAAAGGGGGCGTCGCGAGGGGAGCGGCCCTCCAAGTAGGTGGGGGGCCTTCTGAGAAGTCAGGGGTCTTCCACGCAGACCAGAAGCCCTTTCGAGAGGACAACCGAACGACATCACATGGACGCAAACAGCCCAAGACACCGAAGCATGGACAGCGCTCGAGCACCACTTCACCGACTTCACGTCGACCAGCACCCGGGACCCAGACCAGTGACGTAACATCTCTGCGAACGTCGGGACGTCTCGCCCAACCCGCGCCGACACCGACACCAGGGACTTTCTTTTCCCCCTCCTCCCCCTCTCCTCCGAACTTTGTACATGTCTAGCATTGCATGAATCCAGACTCCTCAGATCCTGGAGGCCATGGCCTCACCCACCTGGTCTCTAGGCCCGGACGCTGTCAGCAACGGTGGTCGCATCGCATCGCATCAGAACTCGTCCTTGAGGGCCTTGGCCGGGGAGGCCTTCACGACGGTCTTGGCCAGCTTCGCTTTCAACGTGGCAAGCGTGCCGGACACCTCGTGATTCCCAGCCTCGGTCACTTGTGGCGGGCCTTGATCACAACGCGGCCTGAGGATGACGATCTTGCCGTTCTTCCTCGTCTCGGTCGTTGGGGATCTGGGGTCTTCTAAAAACGGCCCGGGGGCTTTTGCTACGCCGCTACAATACGCCGCTACAAAAGTTCGTCAAGTTTTATGGGGAAGTCAAAGTGGTGCAGGTTTGGTCAGTTACTTCCGCGCGTGCGGGCGGGCGAAGGCTGACCCCTATCCCGACCGCGCCAAGCTGCCCCTTTTCTTCTTTACACTATTAGCGGGCAGGGTCAAGAGCGGTCGGGTCAAATAGTCGGGAGTTCCAAAATCGCGGTTTCTTCTCATTATAGAATTGGCACTGGATGGGATGGCACTGGATGAAAATCCCAGCCTCGTGGTGAGATTCTAGCGTCCGGAAGATTGGACTTTTCGATGATGGGGGCATTCTGCCGAACATGACGTCTTTTCGAAAGTCAGCACATATTTGAAGTACTTGGTTTTCACGAGTGATCGTGCTGGTGTATGATAGCGCCGCTGTGCTACTGCTGGCAATGCTCGAGACAGCGGAACTCCCTACTCTGCGCGCCTGTCCTGCGCGTTGCTCTGGACGCGTCCTGGTGCGCGCGCCGTTCTGCCATAATCCGCCCGTTTTCCGTCTGGGCCACGTGGAAAGATTGTGGATGGATGGGGGGGCGCGGGGCGGCTGAGAAAGCGGATGCTGACGACGAGGTGTCAGGATTGATGATGGGGGAGGATCGGGCGAGGATGTTG